CAGCGACAGGTTTCTCACCGTCAGCGGCCTAAATGGGAGGAAACTGAGGTTAGCTTGATAATAAGAAACGCTGAAAAAAGAATAATATAGTCAGAAATATTAGTTTATCACCTGTCCAGCTCGCAGGAGGCTATTCAATGCCTCGCGAGCGGTATCGCCAGTTTTCACTTCGACCATTTTTGCCTTGTATTCGTTCGTATTTTTCATTGCGTGCTCGAATGCTTTTTCATGAGATTCCACAGTTTGAGGACCGATATGTTTAGGTGGCTCGGCTTGATGCACATTCACTACCAGGACGCCTTCTTTTGTGGAAATTGCCTGAAATGACCCGTAAGTTACTCATGCTTACACATTTGATATCGCCGCAATCACTCGGGGCGGTGCCGGGAGGCATGAAATGAGCCCGCTCGCGTTTTTCTACCACTGAATGTTTTCTCATTGAACCGATCACTAATGCTAGAAATACAAAGGGTTATGGGCTCAATCCATGCCTCCAGGCTTCGCCCCGCCGGATTATCAAACGGTATTAACTACATAGAGGTTTCATCGACCACATAAAGCTCCGTCTTTCTTTCCGAATGTGTTATGCAAGGGAGATTGTCATCTCAGGACTTCGCTCCTTCGCCTTGTTCTCGATACTTATTAGAAAAATGCGGACTAATTCGCCGACGGGGTGGCATTTTGCACTTTCGCTGCTTCACTACTTCCGGTTCACAAGTCTCACTCTTGTGAAGCCGATGAACTCTTGTGAAGCTGGAGCAAGCTCGTCGAGCCACCATGGTTAAAACCTGTCAACTCTTGTAAGCTCACGAAATGGCTCTCTAGATGGGTCGACACGTCGATGGGAAGTAGCAAAAGTGCAAATGCCCCCTCACCGAACTGCCTCGAAAAGTGCTCTGTCTGCGCACACAGATATTCTTGGAATGACCTCCAAAACGCGAGCTGCAGCTTTGAGCAGCTGTTATTGTGATGAGACGTCTTAGTCAATTTCTTTGATGGCTTAAGGGATCCGGCTGGCGATGAACCACACTAACTGTGGACCGTACGTAGGCTGCCTCGTTCTCGCTGTGGTCCGTGGTGCACATGTCGCGCGCGACGCCGCTGAAGCTCGAATCAGGGAGCAGACGACGGGGAGTATTGCGGATTACGCGGACTTATTCAAACAGAGTGTCTCTGCTGCGAGGGTCCAGGGTTATCTTTCTCGTAGGCATTTACCAGTCATATGTATGTAGTTGAAGGGGAGAAGGTAATAAGAAGGGACTCGGAGAACGGAAAAGGAAAAAAAACGAAGGAAGGCAGGAAGAAGAAAAAGGAAAGAGAATAGAGGCTTCCTGGGTGACAAGTGCCCTGAGACGGGGAGAATTGATGCCTGCTTCCTGCCGAATTTGCTCCTCCGGTGCGACTCCCTTCCACAATCGACTGATCACCTTACCAAACGTTTCCAAAAGTAGGCTCCGAGTTGGGGTGCGGGAAGGAGGAGCATCTAGTGAGAAAATTTCAATCATTCAATCAGAAGAAGTTGTCCTCGGGCCAAATATGTGCTCAGACTAAACAGGATCCTCAGTGGAGATCCGCATTGTACGACGCAGCCTAGATCGGACCCTATGACCCACAGCCCATCAGAGTGGAAAAAATGAGGCTGCCTGAAGAATCACGACTGGTTACTGGCTCTCATGAGCCGAAACGACACTCTAATATCATTATTAAGCGTGGTAGCCCACACGTAGACTATCGTGGAATGTGGTTCTATTGAGCTATCCTTCTGCTCACCTTCGTACCATCGTCAGGGAACGACAGCTTCGGCTTCGCGGCAAGTGTCAATGATCCGTCCTCTTCGGTGAATTGAGCGGTACTTTCGCCACGATTATTATTTCGACGGAAATACACCTGAATCGGATTTTTTTGAAACCAACGGAAAATTTTTCATTGGAAATTTCTTCCGAAAAAGCTTTCTTACTCTTGAAAATTCTTCGCGATTAGGGACTGGATTGCTTATCATACCAACGTCCTCTTCTGGTGGTGGTTCGGAATCGTGTGCTTCCTTAGGAGTAAGGTTAACATTCACATTCCCGTATGAAGCTGAAATACCTTTTTCAAACGGCAATATTACAAACTTGTTCAACTGCAGTATTGCTATAATGAGACACCTCATGAAGATCAC